AAAAAAATAAGAGTAAATAAATGCTATTACTACCATTAATAATAATAACAATATTAACCAGCATCTTTTGAGTGCTTATAATGGCAGCTGCTGTTCTAAGCACTTCACAGGTATTCCTTGATTTAATCTTCATGGCAACTTGGCAAAAGGTACTATTAGTTTTTGTTTATTTGCTTTACAAATGTGTTCATTTAACAGATATTTATTGAGTACCTTTATGTGCTAGGCGTTATTCTAGATACTGTTTTACATCAGGGAACAAAACAAAAATCCTTGTTCTCATGGAGTTTAGGGTCTAGCAAGGAACAATAAATAATAAACATAGTAGTAAATCTTACAGTGTCAGAAGGAAATAAATGGGAAAAATGTATAACAAGGTAAGAGAGATTGGGAGTGTGACTGCGGGGTAGGGGAGGAGAAAAGTGTTGCCATTTTTTATGAAAGTGGTCCAGGTAGGCCCCAACAAGAGGGTCACATCTGAGCAAAGACTTACTTCTGGGTGGAGAAATAAAGACTACAAGGAGGATAAATAACTTACCTGCACTCACACCTCTAATGAATAAAACAGCGCAAATTCAAACCTAGGGCATCTGACTCTAGTCCTGTGCTCTGAACCACCGCATCCTCGAATTATCCAGGGAGTTTACGTACAATGTAGATTCTGCAGTGAGGCCCGGATTTCCTAAGTACAGGTGATTCCTATTACACTAAACTTTGAAGGTCAATCAGTAATTTCCTGGGAAAGTCTCCAATTACATTTTATTACATTGCAAGTTGTTCTCATTATATTATTACTGGTAGTTGTTGGTTGACTTGCCTTGGTCACCTTGAGTGCTGATTCAAGAACAGCCTTTTAAAAAACACCAGGTGGGATCCCTGACTTTGCCAGAGGACAGAAGTATATGATTTCATGGTGCTAGTATACTAAACAAGTGATCATCCCAATTCAGAAAACTGGTCCCTGGCCAAAAGCAAGCAAGGAATGTTAACAAAGTCTAAGACTTAGCCTCTTTTTTAATTCCTCTGTACTTTACCCATTGGGTAAATGCTATTTATAATCACAACCCTTTTACAGACTATTTCTCCTCACTTACCTTCAGTTGCACTTCCTCTTTTGGCAAAACAAGGGTGAATTTTGCACAATTCTTTTCAGTTGAACTCTGCTCGGTAAGGCGTGTGAGGTCTATTATGTCTAATTTGTCAACGTACTGCAAAGATAAAGGAAAATCTCATTAAATTATTTCATGGTACCAAACATTAGTCCTAGCAAGAAGGAAATAAGTAATATCTTCTTTTCGACTGGTTGTACTTTTCGTGATACCCTGGTTTTCTTAATCCCAGAGAACATCTGGAAATGTATTATGCGGTGGTGTGCTGAACAGGTTTGCAAAAGCCAATTGTTAAATTTTCAGGAATTTTGCAGGTAGGTTGTTTAACACAGCCGTTACTAGAAATTAAATTATGTAAACATACCAGTAAGTAAATTATATATTTAAAAAGTAACTAAAACTTAAAATTTGTTACTTCCTAATTATATTACTGCATTTGACTATTCTCTATGCTCTTGAAGTTATTTACATCTTTGTTTCTGTGACATGAAAATACCAGATAGTGGTGTGCTACTGTGATCTTCTTCCCAACTCCACGTTCAGTGAGGTCACATGGACAGACTGAAATCAGCCATGGTGGGAGTATTTACACCAGGGAAATTGGTAAACCTCATAAATCAGGGCTCAATTGGTTGTTTTGTTGGTTGTTCCAGGGGCAGCACTTTTTTTCTGCGAAAGACCAAATAGTAAATACTTTACACATAAGTACAGTCTCTCTTGCAAATTCTTCTTTGTTTTTGTTTTTGTTATTTTCTTTACAACATTTTAAAAATGAAAGAAACCATTCTTAGCTCAAAGACTGAACAAAATCAGACCACAGGTCAGATATGGCCCCAAGGTCCACAGATTGTGGCCCCAGGTCTAGACTTAAGAAAGAAAAGGAAAAAATGTTAATAATATAGATGAAACTTCAAAGTTTGTTGTGTCTGAAGCTGTTGCACTGTAAATAGAATAAAAATTGACAAAATATTCTTTCAGAATTCAAAAACTATTATCTACCTCAGCAAAGAAGTTGCTCATGTCATTGACTTTAAGAATACAAGCAGTTCTGACATACATAATCATCATTTTACTTTTCTTTTACTCATTAATGTAAATGAAAATATCAGTCAACATTCATGTCAAATATCATATTTAATGACAATAAATTTATTAGGGAAATAGATTGGGATACATCTCCATTTGTTAAATCATAATGGAATTACAATGATAGTTGGCTCCCAATACAAAATCAAGGAAAAATCAAGGAAAACATTCTGTGAAAATCAATCAGCTATATGGAAATTATAATAAAGAATATTGTAGACTGGGTGCAATGGCTCATGCCTATAATCTTAGCACTTTGGGAGGCCAAGACAGTAGGATTGCTTGAGGTCAGGAGTTCGAGACCAGCCCGAGCAAGAGTGAGACCTCATCTCTACGAAAAATAGAAAAATTATCCGGGCATGGTGGTGTACACCTGCAGTCCGAGCTACTCAATAGCCTCAGGCAAGAGGATCGCTTGAGCCCAGGAGTTTGAGGTTGCAGTGAGCTATGATGATGTCACTGCACTCTAGCCAGGGCGACGAGCAAGACTGTCTCAAAAAAAAAAAAGAATATTGTACATTTTTTAAATTGTGTGCTACAATTCTTTATATCAGTAATATTTATAAGTTTATGTACATATATTCGTATATACATTTTTTTCCAGAAAGCCATTGTTCAACATTTACCACACATCACTGGTTATGAGGATTTTTAGAAGAAATTCCTATCTTGTCCAAGTAAAATAAAAATATTTCTTGTGAGCAATTGGTCCATATGGACTGGTCTGTATGCCACAAGCCGGACTTGCCCTCTAGTATTAGAAAGAACCACCCCTACTAAGTGTAGTAGAGTTTTTATGGTATAGATATATAATTTTTCTAAATTAGTCTCATTCTTGACTTCTTTTTATCTCCTTTTATTTTCTTCTGAATTATGCCTAGTATAACTTACTTTACTGTATTCTTGTAAGTCTATTTTATTTTTCTGAATAAGGTAGGGCTTAAAAATAGGTCAATAAATTTTTTCCAGAGCTATTTCTATGTGGATAAGGTCGAAGGTAAGTTTGGGTTGGCTTATTTATTTTCAAATCTAACCATTCCACAATGTATATATACTACAAACCATCATGTGCATGATAGAAATATACAATCTTATATGTCGATTTAAAAAATAAATAAATAAATTTGAAAAAAAGGAAGGAGAGGTACAGGGGAAGGAAGCCAGAATTTAAAATTAAACAAGAATATTTTTCCGATGGAGTGTCTAGATCAAGCTCAGTGAGTTTTGTTGCAGCAAAGGAGGAAACAGCAGAGGAAAAGGTGGCAGAGTTAGATAGAGCGCAGTAAGCTGATCTGTTGATTAGAGGAAAGAAAATCATATCTTTTTGTTTTTAATTATAGTGTTATAAGGAGGCTTAAAGGTCATCTGTCTAACCCAGCTGCCATCTGATGCTTGCATGTCCTGCAGGGTATCCTTCTATGCAGTCTGTGCTCGAACATCTCTAACAACATGGAACTCATGCCTACTAAGCAGCTCTATTAGCAGGCTTTTTCTTATATTCAGCCACAGTACTTTCTCCTGAGACTATCACCCAAAAAAGTTCCCCGAAGTCTGCATTCTCTTTTAACACAATTGGTAAATGGGCGATTCTGCAGCGTTTAATTACAATAATCTCTTCATGGTGTAATGATTAAGACGGCTGGCTCAGGAGAAAGACCTGGAAGGTACCCCTTTTATCAGCTGTCTGATCTTGTACAATTTCTTAATCCTTAAACTTGACTATTCCCATCTATAAAATGGGGATTAAAATTGTACCCGTTCTGTAGAGTTGTGAAAATTAAATGAGATACTTTAATGCTTGAATACTTACTATGTGCCAGCTTGCATATACTGTCTCATTTAATTGTTTTGATAGCCTTATGAGATGAGCTACTGTTTTTATCTAGATTTTAGAGATTTGAAGACTGAGTGTGTTGGAGATCTTCTGTTTGCTCCTCTAGAGTCATTTTTATTCCTTTACCACCCAACATCGCACCAGGAGAGGGACCCAGATGGACAACATCAAGGGGCTCCCTTACCCTCTGACTGCCTGTTGGATTGGACCACTAGAGAACACTGGTAGGAGATCAGAAGAGTGAGGAACAAGGTTGGGTATTTACTGCTCTATGCAATTACTCCCTCAAAGATCATGCTCCTCTCAAGGCAGTCACCTCCACACAATTCTCCTGACTGCTCTCCCACTCCTTCTTCTCACTCCTAGGTGTGGCAAGAGGATACTGTAATTAGCATCAGGGTTCTGTACTATCTTTTGTGATTTTCCTACACCCTGTCAACTGCTTTGAATATTTATTAAACTTTTATTAAATGCTCTTCAAATTGCCCAAGTTGAGATGTCATTTGTTTTCTACCAGTTCCCTGTCTGATACACTGAGACACAGAGAAGTCAGGTAAGTAGTCCGAGATCCCATGGGTAACAACAGCAGGGCCAGGATAAACACTCAGGCAGTCTGTCCGAAGAGACCAGGCTCTCAATCGCTAAGCTATACTGACTCTTGCCATGTAGGAAGTGAGCAACAACCATTAGTTCTCTCGTTTCCTATGCATTATACAAACTTTAGACCAGGGGCTTTTATATTTACTGACATCAGTGGGAAATTGGAATGTACAACAGAGAAATTCATTTTTTAAAATTTAGTATGGTATTTGAAAACACCCTTGTATACATCTTGTCTAGCCAGAACCCTGGTGAAAGATGACCATTTTAAGTTTGTTTTAGTTTGTTTTTTTAAAAATGGTTTCTGGGGCCAGGCGCGGTGGCTCATGCCTGTAATCCTAGCACTCTGGGAGGCCGAGGCAGGCGGATTGTTTGAGCTCAGGAGTTCGAAACCACCCTGAGCAAGAGCAAGACCCCGTCTCTACTAAAATTAGAAAGAAATTAATTGGACAACTAAAAATATATAGAAAAAATTAGCCGAGCATGGTGGCGCATGCCTGTCGTCCCAGCTACTCGGGAGGCTGAGGCAGGAGGATCGCTTGAGCCCAGGAGTTTGACGTTGCTGTGAGCTAGGATGACGCCACGGCACTCTAGCCCGGGCAACACAGTGAAACTCTGTCTCAAAAAAAAAAAAAAATGGTTTCTGGCTAGTTCACCACTAACGGTGCTGAAATGCCTGTAGATGGCATATATCACGCAGGCTCTTTTTCTGTTTTCCTCATGAGACCTAGGCATCTAATAATGATGTACTAAAAAGTATGGGCTACTATATCCAGGGTCCACAATGTTCATATTGAAATATGTTACTGGCTCATGAAATCTCTTATAAGTATAGCTTTCCAAGGTAGGCAAGCATTTGCCACTAAGATACTACATCTTATTCCTGGGAAAAAATGAAACACACAATCAGAATTTGAAATTAATATGAATAAATAAATCTCAGAATCTCTTTATTGTTATTCTTATGGTTATGCTCTTAGAAGTCATGCTTTGTAGAGCATGTTTTTGTCTTTTTAGAAAAGTTTTATTGTGAGTTTGTATGTTATGATGCTCTGGAGATCATCTTGTTCCTTTCGGGTTATAACTGCATGCTACAGCAGGATAAAAAGTGGGGGAAATTGAAGCTATCACTTGGTATTAAGCAACTTATATACAGATATCTAGTTAAAATTTTCAATTTTTAACTAAGTTTTCATTATCAGGATCAGAAAAAAAAGAATGCAAAGTAAAAAACGTGAATTAATACCATCTTCTGAGTTTGCCCAGGAAATTTTACCATTGGTTATCATAATTGACAGCCCTCACAGATTTAAATTCTCTTATTTGAATTGGTTTTAATAGAGCATCTTTATTCTTGGATGATGGAAGTTCCAAATTGAAAAACAGACTATGTGACAAGGATACATCGGGAAGGAACAATTTGAATCAGCTGAACATGTTCAACTACTTACTATTGTACTTTTTTTGTCAGTATAAAAGAAAAGTGTAGTTCCTCTCAACTCTGTCCAATAATGTTTATACTCCTGTAGGAAAGAAATCATAAGCATTATTCATTAGTATATATTCAACTATTTTCCTATTGATATCTTCCTTTGTAACTTTTTACATTGCTTATGTGATATAAGGTTCTTTATCTTGGGTAATTAGCCTAATTTTTATGACTTAACTTTTTAATTGATTCTTTTTTTTCTTTCTTTCTTTCTATGGTAGAAACAGCCTTTATTGGTTACAATGCAAATTCTAAGAGGAGGGGACAGGACAGCTCTGACTCCTGGGGCGGCGTCTACTACCCTCTGAAAGCGGATTCTTCTTTAATTAATTGTAGTATAATGTAAGTATTATGAGCTGAAAAATTCCTATCGCATAGCATAAGGCATTACTCACGTGTTCGTGGATGCTGGTGCAAACAAACCCATGGCTCTGCCAGTCATATAAAAGTATAGCACGTACGATTATGTACAGTATGTTTATAATGATAATAGGCAACTATATTACTGGTATATGTATTTATTATACTATACTTTTTATTGTTATTTTAGAGTGTACTACTTCTACTTATTAAAACAAAAAACCTTAGCAATAAAATGGCTTCAGACAGGTCCCTCAGGAAGTATTCCAGAAGAAGGGATTGTTATCATAGAATATTACAGCTCCATGTGTGTTATTGGCCCTGTAGCCCTTCCCCGGGGACAAGATGTGGGGGTGAAAGACGGTGACATTGGTGAGTCTGAGCCTGTGTAAGCCTAGGTGTATGTGCCTGTTTGTGTTCTAGTTTTGAACAAAAAAAATTTTAAAAGTAAAAAAAAAAAAAAATTTAATTTAAAAATAGAAAAAATGACACAGAATAAAGATATAAAGAAAGAAATTATTGTACTGCTATACAGTGTGTTGCATTTTAAGCTGTGTTATTACAAAAGAATCAAAAAGTTAAAAAAATCAAAAAGTTTATGAAGTTACAGTGAACTAAGGTTAATTTATTATTAAAGAAAAAAATTTGATAAATATAGTGTATCCTAAGTGTACAGTGTTCATAAACTCTACAGTAGCGTAGTAATGTCCTAGGCCTCTGCGTTCACTCATCACTCACTCACTCACTCACCCAGAGCAACTTCCAGACCTGCAAGCTCCATTCATGGTAAGTACCCTATGCAAGTGTCCCATTTTTTATCTATTATACTGTATTTTCACTGTACCTTTTCTGTATTTATACACAAATACTTACCATTGTATCACAGTTGCCTACAGTATTCAGTATAGTAACATGCTGTGCAGGTTTATAGCCCAGCTATAATAAGCTGTATATGCCATATAGCCTGGTCGTGTGATAAGCTAGATTTAAGTACACTCTATGTTGTTTGCACAACTACAAAATTGCCTAACAACACATTTCTCAGAACGTATCCCCGTCGTTAAGCAACCCATGACTATAATTTGATTTGTGTTTCAATAGATCATTTTCCAAAACTCTTCTCATTGATTTAAGACTTTTTATGCAGTTTCAGTGGAAGTTTGCACATGTAACATGTGGCATTTTAAGAATCCAAGATAGGTTAAGCATATAATATCTACCTTCTAGGACAGATGGAAGGAATGAATTAATTAAGACATGTGAGGCACTTAGCAGAGAGTACATGGCTCATAGTTTGGGTTCAATAAACAGCATATATTAGGCCAGGCGTGGTGGCTCATGCCTGTAATCCTAGCACTCTGGGAGGCCGAGGCGGGTGGATTGTTTGAGCTCAGGAGTTCTAGACCAGCCTTAGTAGACCCCGTCTCTACTAAAAACAGAAAGAAATTATCTGGACAACTAAAAACATATAGAAAAAATTAGCCGGACATGGTGGCACATGCCTGTAGTCCCAGCTACTTGGAAGGCTGAGGCAGGGGGATTGCTTAAGCCCAGGAGTTGGAGGTTGTTGTGAGTTAGGCTGATGCCATGGCACTCTAGCCTGGGCAACAGAGTGAGACTCTGTTTCAAAAAAAAAAAAAAAAAACCAGTATATATTATTGGTATAGATCAAGGAAACATGAGAAATTGATAATGATAAAAAAAATTAACACCATCAAAGCTGAACTTTGAAAACCAAATTTCATTCAGGGGATGAATATTTAATTATTAATGCATTCACATTGGTATGAGTTCTATAGAGATAAAACTTTTTAAGTTTAAAATATTTAAATAACCTAGTCAGACTTTCATTTTACTAGAGTGAAGATTGGCTCTATTACCAAAAAATGGCAAGTGAGTTTAAAGTTTAAAACCGTTCGCATCTAAATACTTACCTTCATACCCAGCTCTTTCCAAGGTATGTTTTAAAAAATTACAGTCAGTTTAATAGACATGTTGATCATTCCTTCTTTTAAAGTTTAATAAGCTGAAATTTTTGCAACTTGTTAAACCATAATGATTTATATATTGAGGATTCATTTCAAAAAGTCACCTAAATTTTTTTTCTTTTTTTGTAAATGTGAAGACATTTTATTTTATGGTATTTTGTGTCTCTTCAATATTGACATATTGGCCAGGTGCAGTGGCTCACAACTGCAATCCTAGTACTTCAGAAGGTTAAGGTGGGAGATCATTTGAGGCCAGGAGTTGGAGACCAGGCTGAGCAACGTAGGGAGACTCTGTCTCTACAAAAAATGAAAAAAGTAGCTGGGCATGGTGGCATGCACCTGTAGTCCCAGCTACTTGGGAGGCTGAGGCAGAAGGATCACTTGAGCCCAGGAGTTTGAGTGTGCAGTGAGCTATGATGATGCAAGACTGTGTCTCAAAGAAAAAAAAAATTGACATATCATTTACCCTTTTTTGACCAGTAAAATATTTGTCACATCTTCAGAATTTAGATGCTTATTTTTTCAAATATTGGGAACTCTATAACCCAATATTGCTTTTATTTCCCTGGCTCCTAGGGTTCTGGGCTCCTAGGCTCCTGGCTCAAGATTAAATTTATTTTGAATTACAGCCACCATCTTTTCTCATGTCCTTGGTAGAACTATTTTCTTCCTTTGTCTTCATGGCTAATAAAGTGCCATATTAGCTAGCTTTTTCTACATAACAAGTCACCTTACAATTTAGAGGACTACAACAGCAAATGTTCTCTATTTCTCTCCATTCTGTGGCTGGCTGATGGTTTTTCTGGTCTGGGTGTCCTTGGCTGTGGCTGAATGGTCTAGAACAGCCTCACTGGTTTGTCTAGGGGTCTTAACTGGGAATGCAAGAACAACAGGCAAGGCAGGGACTACTGGAGTCTCACTCTGTATGGTGTCTTATCCTCCAGTCAGCGAGCCTGGACTTGCTCACAAGTTGGCAGGATTCCCAGAAGCAAGAGAGAGCAAAACCCAATGCACAAGCAGATTCTAAGCCTCTGCTTTGTCCCATTTAAAAAAGTATGTCGCATGACCCATTCCACATTCAAAGGGTAGAAAAATAGACTCAACCTCTTTGTAGGAGAAGCAGAAAAGTCACATTTTAATGGTGGGGTGGGGGGAGGTTTGCATACAGTGAGGCTTGAACAAATTGGCAGTATCACTGCAGTAGTCTGCCTCAGGGGCAGGGTTGGAACTCTGGGCAAGATACCTTTGCCCAAACCCTGCGGTCTTTCCTCTCAATCCTACCCCACAATTGAGAGCTGGTTATAACATGAAATAAACCAGCTGATGCCTTCTAAGCCAAGAACGAATTACCATAGAAAAGAATAATTCACAAGGCCATGTGATTGAAGGATCAGCCAATAGATGGTCCCCAAAGGAGCAACATGTAATTAGCCGGGCATGGTGGCGCATGCCTGTAGTCCCAGCTACTCGGGAGGCTGAGGCAGGAGGATCGCTTGAGCCCAGGAGTTTGAGGTTGCTGTGAGCTAGGCTGACGCCACAGCACTCTAGCCAGGGCAACACAGTGAGACTCTGTCTCAAAAAAAAAAAAAAAAAAAAAAAACTGGGCAAAGATGTTCTTCCTCTTGCCTGAAACCCAAATGCCCAATATACACTTGGCACATCTCAGGGTCAAGCAGTTTAATAAAACAAAGGAACACATCTTAATTTCAACCCCATCAGAAGTCTTTTCTTTCCTTCTTTTTTAACATAGGATGCAAAGTGTTATTTCCATCACAATAGCCCTTTACTTGGTCTTTCTGCCACCGTCTTCCACTCTGCGATCTGTCCTGCACGGTGCTGCTGGAGTGAATTATCTCCTTCTCAGAACACAGGACTGAGGATCTAATAGGTGAGTTTGGGAGGCAGCATGTTCAGCTCAGTCTGCCAGGAGAGAGTGGATGTTCTCCTCTGTTCCCTGCCATGTGGCAAAACACCTCCAAGAGGCGCAGGCTTGTGGCTCTCAAGCTGAGTCAGTGACTCAAGATAGCTCAAGGCTACCTAAGTCTAGGGTGAAATGTTCACATAATCTTGGCCTTAAATCTAAACCACATATCGATAGACTTTATCAATAATAAAAGCAACCAATTGATTTTTATTTGTGTGATTCCTGTGTCTGGTTTCAAACTTGAGAGAAGAAAATGCCCAATAAAAGGGTATTTAAAAAGGAGAGGAGGGGTGACTGCTCATGGAGTTTCTTTTTGACATGATGAAAATGTTCTGGAACTACATAGTGGTGATGATTGTACAAGTTTTTTAATATATTAAAAACCACTGAATAATAATAATAATAATAATTAATAATAATTGTGTCTCCTGTATAAGAGTTCACTGTTAAGAGACCAAGAATAGAAATAGGGAAACCAGCCTCCTGCTATTGCCTCATGGAGTTGTTGAAGAAATGAATGAAATAATGATGTATGTAAAGTACATAGGACCTGGGACATAGCAAATATTCAATATATTTTAGGAAAGAAAGAAAGGAAGGAAGGAAGGAAGAAAGAATTGCCTCATTACTTACATTATTAACAGGCACTTTGCTTTTTTCATTATCTACATAATACTTTTTCCATCTGGGGTTTTGTATGTGCGTGTGTAATGGTGGTGGGGCCTAACAATCTCCAAAATAGATCTCTTTCAGTGGGATTATGTATAAGAAGGAGGGAATATTCTGTAGACCAGAATAATGAAACCCATTGTCATTCCTATATAAAATCATTTTTTCATGTTTTCTTAAATAAAAAGACAAAAACTTCATTGAGAAATTTGGCTTGAGAAGTTACCAATATTGGTATATACCGGCATAAGTTCAGGCAGATGTTCTTTCTGTAAAACCCATGGAAGTGACTAGTCTTTAACTCTGTGGAAAAAGACTTGAACTTTCCCAGATTTGACCTGCAACTAAATAACAAAACAATTCAAATTTATCTCAGGAATTGTTTAGTTTCTTTACCATACCACTCTTTTTAAGGCTTTTACACCCTGCTCCCATGGTAAGCCTCTGCAATGAAAGGAGGAAGACAGGGCTATTCTGTATTTTGGAACTAGGAAGAGGATGAAGGAGAGTGTTGGAGGAGATGGGAATGCAGGGAATGTGCATTGTTCATGGAACTTCACCATCAGTTTTATAGTTTTACTGAAGTATGGCTTCTAAGATCTAGTCCAGCCCCAAGATTATATGATTCTTGGAGGAAAGGAAAGCAAGAGAAAACCCTGAAGTCAAAGGCTATACCACTCTGTTCATCTTAATTAGTCTCATTAGTACAGTATTAACCTGCCATGAGATAAAAAAAAAACAACTCATGTCACTAATAGCCAGTCAAAATTCCCTTTCTATGTACGTGCAGCCATCCATTTGTGCTCCTGAGAAAAATTACAAAGGTATTCAGTCACCATCTTGTAACACAAATTGGGTAGAATTAAATCAGGGAAAACTAGGAGTTTTACAGGTAAGCAGACCTGTAGATTTGTGAAAAGAGTTTAGGAAGATTTATTAAATGGGGGAAAGAAGCAAGTATAAAGGCACTGAGTGGAGAGCAAAGGTAGCCTGGGAGGAAAAGTAAGGTGACAAATAGCAATAGGTCCTGTGATCTCCAACCACAGCCACAAACCTAAGGACAGACCAAATTTGTATTCGGTAGGCAGAGACCTGCAGGTCACAGTCTTGATTTATTGATTTAGTTTCTGATAAGACCTCATAATTACCAGTAAAATCTGACTCATCTATTAATCTTAATAATATCTAGGTATATATTTATATTTACAGAGATACTTAAACATTGTAAAAATTAATTTTGAAGTATGCATCTTTGCATAAAATATATTTAGCACAAAGTTTCTTTTTTTTTTAAACAATCATTTGTGTTAAATCACTAAAGTAAGAAAAGGGACTGAAACAAAAACTTCTGAATTTATTGCTAGCTTCATAATCATTAGATGACCTTGCATTTAGAAATTAAGGTCACTGCCTCATTTTCATCCAATTAAACAAATGATTTTGAAAGTATACTGAGCTTACCAATGAGTTCAATGTGATAAAATATCTAGTGATTAGACATTTCTAGCCTTTGGAAGCCTACAATGAAATGGCATTAGAACTCGAGTTTGACTGGCTATTAATGGATGAGGAACCTTGAACATAACTCCTGTGAGCCACAACCCACCCATCTATGAAGTGGATAAAATAATTTCTACCCAGAAGAATTCCTGCAAGGAACAGAGTGACAGGACATTAAGAGCGCAGCGTGATATCCGCCATATGTCACACCTCCAAAGAATGTACCCATTATCATATAGTCCATTTGGTCATCTAAGCAACACATTCAGTTATTCCAGAAAGTCATTATCCATTACAGAAAGGAGGAAACAGATTTAAAGAAGTAAAGGAATTGCCCAAATTCCAGAATTGGACTGATACTTGTGTCTCCTGACTCCCTAGTGCTCTTTTCTCAATGATGTGAAAATGAATTACAATGAATTCATTGTCAGAAAAATGAATTACAATGCAAGCTCCAGTTACTTTCCTCTCTATCCCCCCTCCCCAGTAAAAAGCTCCCGTTCTTTTTCTTGTGAGCAAGCAAAATACATTTGCCTAAGAAGGGGTGTTGTGTAGTGGTCTCCAAAGTGGGGTGCATAAACCTCAAAGGTATGCAAGATTCATCCATTGAGAAAGAAAACTTTAGAATATCTAATTACATTTCATTTATTTCATCTTTCTTAATTCCTTTTTGCATATATTTAATAATTTACATGGAATATTAGTACAGTACATATATATAATTTCTAAATGGATTAATATTCGTATAAGAGGGATATGTGCTCAAAATGTTTTCCTGAAAGGTATTATTTAAGAACAAATGTATTTATGTAGCTTAGTGTCCTTAATACCTACAATTGTACCCTAAATATTATCTTTT